AAGCCTGCTTACTTCTTTCTCTTGATCAAGTTTGGTCTCTCGATGCAGTTTAACTGTTCAATTGTACCATCTTAATAAAAGGGCACATTTAACTTGGCACACAGTTGGCATAGCACAGCCTGCTTAAGGATGTAATTCATTTGTATTGACATCAGAGGGATGTGCCTCTCCTCCAGTTGGCACTAACTAATAAAAATCATAATACATTAACAGTAAAACAGTACTATAATGTAATAACATACAACATGCGGGTAATATATGAAACCACCTGGTAATAAATGTTTTTATTTAGCCAAGAACGATGGTTACCAATCATAGAAACAGTATTTTAATTTTTATAAAAAATGTATTTTTCTGTTTCAACAACTCATGCACAAGAAAAGCATATGAAGTAAAACAACACTTTGAGAAATCTTCCTTTACTCTGTGCCTTAAACTAAAGCCTGTTTTTGCACCACAGAGGGCTGGTGTATTTACTGTGTTCATGCACCGTCTGTTGTGACCCTGGGCCTTGACTAATGTAGACTTTGTATTTTTATCTGGTTTGCCCCTTTTAAAAATAGTCTGCCATCCCTGTGCTGTCTAGCTAATGAGAGTAGGGTGGTGGTGAAGTATTTGGTGTTGAGAAAGCTTTGCGTTGTGTTGAGTGCACTGGAGAATGACTCCTGTGCAGGGCCGATGTGAAGAGTGAACTGATCTTAAGTGAATTGCAGGCGATTGAGCAAACTGAGAATCCAGCATGCAAGAACTGTGTCTCAGGGCTCCTCTCCATGGTCGAGGCCAAGACAGCCCAAGATTAATGTTGATAAAGGACAGCTTGAGCAGGCCAGGAATGGAAAAGGTCTTGAAACAGCATAAATACAAACCGCAAATGTTTGCAGTGACCCCTCAATTGCTGGCAGTCCACTGGAAATTATGTGATTTGATCAAACCATGTGCTTTCATAAGAGGAAGCATCAGAATCCTCATGGACTATGAGTTCCACATGATGTGGAGTGCAATATATATTGTATTAAAAAAATCATGACTTGATTATGTTTTTAAAAACAAAACCCAACTCATGCCATCATGCTCCCTGTCATTGTATCTCAGCTAGAGAAGAGAAGCCAGCTCTGATCATGTGGTTTGTGGATAATTATTGCCGTTTGGCTGCTGTCTCAAACTGTTCAAACAGCACTTGCTTTGGTGTGCTTAGGAGCTGAAAGACCCAGCTATGTGTTTCTCTGGCATTGTTCACAACCTCTTGCTGCAGAAAGCTGTTGGTCTGCCTTCCTTTTCCTCTCTAAAATGTGGCAACACATCCTGAGATGTGGTCAGACTGCAGTATCCGGAAACCAGACAGGGGACGTTTGCGAGGGGAAAATGCACGAGAAGTAAACACAGTACGAGTGTTTCAGGGACACAGAAAGTGAGATCTTTTCACATCAGTAGAGATGCGGTACAAATCTGACAGCATCCATTTTCCATGTTACAGTCAGGAGCTGTTGGCTTTCCTTTTCTCTGCTTTGTTATGTTCCTTTCACATGAATAAAAACGTGTTTGCTGAAATATCTGAATATGTGTCAGAACTTTATGCTGTTTTCCACAGGAGCACAACTACCTTCTTATGAGACCACTTTTTGTTTTTGCAAATATCATAGATCCATGACTGTTTCCCAGACAATTGTTATCGATTTTCCAGTACTAGATGTGTATCTTTGCAGAGGAGGGTGACAAAAGAACACCAAGAAAAGTTTTCATAGGCAAGTATGAAATAAATACCTCTGGGGCTGAGAATCTGCCCTGTAGGGCAGTTTAGTAAAGTTTCTTGTTCGTGCTTCTGTTTAGATACTTAGTGTCTGAATGAGGCATTGTGGGAAGGCAGCAGTGTGAAAATGAAGCTGATTGGCACACAGTTTACACTGGAATGTCCCAAATTCACCAGATAAATCCACTTGTTCTGGAACATTAATGTAAACACATGTAATTTAAGACTGTGCTTCGATTGAATAATTTTGCTCAAATAAGTGATACTGTATAGCTATACAGGGCTATAATCAAAATCCATCACTTCTGCCATGTGTTGCATAGTAGGCAAATTGAATCAGCCCTTTTCCTGCTTATTAAGGCCAGGGATATTTAATCAGATCTTGTATTTTACTGCTTCTGGAAAATTCCCATTTAAACTTTTGATGATGCAAGTTTGGTTCAGCAGCTGCTTAATTTGTCGTGGAACAGGAGGCAGACTATTTTTACACATCCTGAGGAATGCAACATGACCACACAGTTGCAGTTGAGTACGTAATTAATTATTGTCATCCGCCTCCCGAGTTCCCCAGTCAGAAGTTCATGGTTTCATTATTCAAACGTGTCTCCTGAGTACGTTTTGAGCACAAAAACGAATGGAAAAGGCAAACCTGTGGTCACGTCACAAAGGAAATGTGCAAGGGACTCCTGCTGTCGCTGTGATCATACCTTTCGGTGCTGCTGACCCCCTGGGTGATGACTGGACAGGACGTCAGCATGGTTCTTAATTTTGGCCTTTCATAAAGGGTGTGCTCCGTTTCTAAACCCATGAATACTTCATAAATTCAGCCCAGGAGGGTTGCGCAGAAAGTTATGCACCTTTGTATGTATCGCATCTGATTACTGATCGAGGCCTTTCATTAGGCTGTCTAATTTCCATAGTAAAGTAGAGGATACTGAAATGTGCATTTTGGTACATTTCTCTTTTCAAGCTGCGAACACCCTGCAGGTCGGGGTCAGTCTTTGGGTTATGATGTCCTGCACTTCACCATTAAACTACCTTGTCCTTTAAAAAACAGTGTTCCAGGGACTTTTTACAATGAACCCCTGTGTCTGAGACGGATCAGCTCAGTGATTGAAATGTGCTTTAAATATTTGAGAAAAGACCATTTCAATGTTTGGGTGAAGGCAGGTCTGAAAGAAAAGTGGTCTCAGTGTATTGACTTGAAGGGACATTCTCTAGAGAATTGAAATTGCTGAATTGTTATTCCAGTGTTGTTGTTGTTCAAAAGGTTTTGCACCCTTAGGATATAACGCCTGTACTATCTGAAACCTTGTGAGAGTTGCTGTGGATGTGCAACTCATTTTAAGTTGGAATAGGTGAATTTTGAGGCCTCTGGTTATATTTTTGTTATATTTTCTTAGGATTCTTGAAATAAAACTTCAAATATTGTACAAATACTCACTTACCCTAGCTAAGATGTAACATTTTATTAATAAATAAGGTGTTTTATTTATCTGAATGATCTGAATCATAATTTCCTTTACTTATTTGAAATTGGTGGGCCGTACTGTCAGTCTGCAACACAGTGAGTTGAACAGGAAGCCTCTGTGATACAGCAGATCTGTGTAGGATTCTCTTGTTTCCTCATGTAGAGGCACCACATAACTCCATATTAAACAGAGGCTGTAGTCAGTGCAGCAGGAACTGAGAGTGTATGGATACCAGAAAAACACAGTGGGCTGTCTTAATAGTATATGGCTGATATTTAAATAGTTTGCTCTGAACATTTTTCATTTTCTCAAAGAATAAGAAGAAATGTAATACAGCTAGCTTGTAGAGAACAGATGTCTAATATTGGAAGAAGTGCTCCGGATGGCAAGAATATTACCCAAACGGTGCCTCTTTTTGTAAGATTTCCATGTCTGCAAATTAAGGGTGGTGCCAGTGTTTGAGGTTTATTGTAGGGATTTCTGCAGAGGAAGTTGTTAAACCATAGTGTGTTTTGCTAAGATCTTGGTCTGACACTTTTACTTTCCTCTCGGAGCTCTCAGGTGTCAGATTTGTACTGCATTAAGTTTGCGTGCACCACATGGGGGGGTGGGGTGGGGTGTAGTTTTTTTAGAAATATATTGTGTTAGCTGGTGGCCACAGTCCAGTGAGGTCTGTTGACCTACATGTTGATGGCAGCACTTCATCCGGCCTCTAGTATACTGGCAGCACGAAAGTGTTTTTTTTAATAAGCAGACCTTATTGGTTACTTTCTTGTTGTGCATCAGACCTGATACACAACATGTCAAATTTATTGCTGACGGAAAACATTCAGGTGATGAGGACTATCATCGTTATGACTGACCCACAGTATCATGCCAAAATCATGAACTCAATATAAAAAATCCACATACTTTAAAAAGTCCATGCTAAAATAGAGTATTTACTTTATAATGCGCCATAATGCTTTAATTCTCCTTTCAATGATTGTTTGCAGCATCCTTTTGAAAATTATACAGGTGGGTCTGCGTAGGTGTTACATTTGCAGTAGTAGGGGAAATGGCTCCCTCTTTGGGCCCCCAGTGGAAATTATAGTGCTTCAGCTAATGTCTTGAGCCACTGTAACACACATTCCTTACCTCGCTTCAATTCAGCCTCCTCCTTGATCTTCTCCTGTGGCGTCTTGGGATCCTTCGGGTTGTAAGGAATCGTGTCGAGCTAATCTCATGGAAACCCAAACGGCGAAAACCACACAATGAAAGCAGCCTGTGTGTAGCTTGAGGCAGTTTCACAATCATTTTCAAAAGAATGTTGACCGTCTTAGGGGCTTGTGACTCCGCCCCCCCCAAAAAAGAAAAGCTAGATAGGGAAAGTATTCCATTTGACCAGATGCTTGAAACTTTTCATTTGTGTTCGCCGATTGATTACATTTAGAGTGCATGATCCCTTGTAGTAATTTTTTGTACAGAAAGAAGAGTCCTCAGTCCCCTGGGAATGCGCCGTCCACAAAGTGCTGTAGGAAGTTCCCACATGTTGCAGGAGTGTCCGAGTCTCAGTATGCGACTCATTTTAAGAGGCCAGTTTCTTCTTTCCTCCACTCCTCCTGACAGCCGTATTCATTGATCTCACTTGTTAAACGTATTAAATGAAGACCTCACGGGAACACTAAAGAGGCGCCTGTTTCCTAGACACTGGTGAGCACTTCAGGTCCGTGGGCTTGTACAGCAGAGTATAACTTTGCCTAAAGAACTGTCCCTGAAAGGAGCTTATTCTGCCTTCGCAGGTCACCCTCCAGTGCTTAGAACGCTTCCTGTGCCTGTTCCACTGCGTCCGACACATCAACAATCCAGATTCCAAGGATGCTGTGAAGTTCTGGTAGGTGCCTTTTTTTCTGCAGCTGATTTGTCCTATGTTTGAAGATGTGGCTGGTGACTGGAACTGGGGTTAGCTGTCTCTTCTTTTGGTGCTGCGAGTGAGGTGACGAAGCACCACTCCAGTGCGGTCCTGCTGGAGTGACTCTCCGAAGTGTGTCCCCCTTCGAGATGCACTCTTGTCCGGTCAGCTGCCCGCTGAATAAGCACCTACTGAACGTGTCGAGACTGTCCAGATTTATAAAGGCGATTTATGGCCCCCTAGGTTATTTTAAGCTGATTTTGAGCCAGTTTTGTTTCAATTACTGGCCTCTCCATTGCGGTCGCGTTTGCAACAATTTAGAAGTTTTAAAGGCATAAGGATAAGTCATAAGCAAACTACAGTTTATATAGAGATTTTCTATAGACAGTGCAGGATATTCCTATAAGGCTGGAATTGTATATCTGGTTGCTTATATCATAAACATGATAAGGTCTTTGTTTTGTTACTTCTTAATCCTGTGGTCTACACACTGTATTGTGCCAGTAATTGCAGTAGATGTACTGTAGTTTATATTGCTGTGGTCTAAACTAAAAATACTAATAGAAGTCTCACAGTTGTGAATTTAAATTGGTTTTGTATGAAGTGTCTAAAATAGGGTTCCCAGGCCTGCTACTGCAGGCACACTTATCTGTTTTTGTGTTCCAGTCAAGATTTCAGTTACATAGCTGAACCCATAATTATTCTGATAATAAGATTAGTTTTCATCATTTCATTGTTGTTTTTTGCTATTAGGACATTTTGGAAGTTGCCTTTTATCTACCGTGTTTCATTAGCAACTTAAAATCCCTGACTTTCAAATGGAAAAGAAACTTCTCTGGTGAGTGAAGTTAAGTCAGGAGGTGTCTGGGTCTCTGGAAAGAGAATTGGGAACCCCTTCTCTGAAAAATATAGTGCAGCTCACCTTAAGCACCGTGGTTTTAGTAATGAAGTCAGAGCTTCTGGCGCCCTGGGGCTCCGTGACATGAACCTGTTTCAGCTTATATTATTTTGCAGTGCAGCTGAGCTTCTTATCTTATCTGTTCTGGTGCTCTGGTGGCTTTTGATAGGACGTGTGGATGGTGTCTGTCCGACATGTAACCTACCCGGCCGTGCACTCGTGGTCTCGTTTTGGGTTGAGGTCCATGACCCTGCATTGGACTGAGCAGTTATAAGAAATCAAGGGATTCTTTTTGAGCTGCATTGTTACTTCATTACTAGTTACACTGCATAGCACTGGGGTATAGGGAGCTGATCCTACTGAAAACAGACCAGATGAAATAATGAGGTTATTGATGAAGGAGTATCCTGTGAGCATCATTCAACGATACAAGCAGAACCCTCTCTTCTTGTTTTAACCTCTTTCATTTTAGCTTTAGTTTTAACTGTCTCCTAACTGTCCCCCAAGGCTGTCCCCCACTCTATGGGTGACAGGGCCTTCTCCTGTTATGCTCTGATATGAGTTCCAGAGCTTAGGGGCATATCAGAGAGTCACCCTCTAAACTCTTACAAATCCAGACTTCTTTAGAAGAGTCTTTATTTATCTGGTTCCACTCTTTACCCCTCTGCTCCTACTGTTTTAGTACTACCATCTGCTGTCTCCTCTGCATATTCTCATTGTGTTTATCTTCTGTATTTTTTATTCTTTATTTTTAATGGTTGTTGTTGCTTTTGTCATTCTATAAAGCGCTTTGAGAAGCAACCTTTAAAGGCGTTATATAAAATAAAGTTTATTATTATTATAACTGAAGTTGCCGTGCTGGGATACATGAATTCACTGCACAGTACGGCTTCACTGTGGAGCCTCTCGTGTGCAAAACAGACCAGGCATCTTTTAAATCTCAATCTTCAAAAAGTCAGGTGACCACAGAATTTAATTTGGTTTTTGTGATCAATCTGCATGCAGATTAAAATGCATTTGCTATGAGATGCAATGTGAGCTCTTCATCCAAGATCACGCAAAAAGATAAAGCTCCACTCATCAAGGGAGCTGTGTGAGATGTAACAGCAGATCGTAACAAGACAGCCTAAATAGCAGCCTTTTGTATTGCTTTAAAAACTATAATAGATTTTCTTCTATCTTTATCACCATTGCCTATCTGTTAGCTTGATTTTCCACCCTGTACTCTGACCTGCAATAAGGGTGATGTTAACCTCAACAGCTTATCAAGGAGAGAAATTATAGGTTATACTTTTACAGAAAGAGAAATGGAGCATAATTTTCATATTATGTGAATGTAAGGAGAGAAATGCATCACGGTCATTATGAAAACCTAAATCCTTAAGTAAGAAGATTTAAGCTGTAGCCAGTAGTGTTTTAGTTCAAAGATTAGGCATGCTTCTTACTCCTCTCCAATCCTGGGTTTAATCGTTCTGTCAGGCAGCAGACATTCAGAAGTATTAGGGAGAGACGGTTCTTAGCTGACAGTGAATGTTTGCATTAATTTGCAGAAAATTGAAAGGGAATATACAATTCAGATCTGCTGAAGAAAGCCCTATTTATAACCATGCATGGCAATTGTACATGCAAATGCATATTATCCTTTTTTCTCTTTGCTTAAACACCGTTTTAGCAGCAAAACTCGCCTGTACAGCTGACATCTCTCCTAAATGAATATCTATCATTAACTTGAAACCTGGGCAGCTTGAATCATTTACAGTATCCATCATGTTTTCACATCCCTTAGATACACTTTGATTGCCCCAAATGTTGGAAACTTCCCTTCATTTTTATCAAGAATCCTTTCTGTATCCCTTTTTAAATCCTGACTTGAATATTTAAGCAACCATTCGGATTTTACTTTTACAGCTGTATATTTCCATTTTTCTTCCCTTTTGTCTCATATGAAATAGTAGAACCTTTTCGGTTTTCCTTGAGCCGGTGGTAAACAGTCCTTCAGTTTTCATACACCCCTTCCTGTGTTCTCGGCCATTAGACTACGGGCCAGAAGCCCTGTCACCAGTGAGTGGCCCCTGCTTCTTATTCCCCAAGATTGACCCTGAAAGGTACCACAATGCAGGAAACGCAAAGCTTTTCATAGTGCAGGCGTTCTCTAGGATGTGCAGTCAAGAGGAACCACGTGTGCCATCTCATTTCATGGAACAAAAAAAGCAAATCCCTGGCAAGGAATCAAAGCAAATGCTGTACAGATGTGGTGCTCCGCGGCACAGACCTCTCCTCGCTGAACATGCAGGGAAGTTAGTCCGGCTGGACGCATAGTCCCGAGATTCGGAATCGCTGCCCCGCTGTTTCCTGTGGCTGGTTATGTGCCCTGCAAGCCCTATGTGAAGCAGGAGCAAGAGCGTCCTGTGCAGGTTTCACTTTTGCTTTTCAGCTTTGTGCCACCTCTCACCTCCTTGCTGTACGAGCTGCCTCTGCTCAGTGCCGGCTGGCTGGCAGGGGAGCGGAGGTGCGAGACCTGATGTCCGAGAGCAACTGGGCCTTTTAGAAACTGTCATGAAACATTTTCGTGACAAGCCCACTTTTCATGAGAAGCAACCTTGTGGGAAAGGCTGTGAAGCTGGGGGGGAGACTGTTTGCCAGATTGGAATTTTGTTTGGTAAGCTTTTGCAAGTGAGGCATTGCATGCAGGTGAGTTTATTAGTTATAAGTTTTCTTGCTAATTAGTTTACACTAATTTGCACAGGCGTGCTCTTATTTTAACATGCTCTGGCAGGTGGAACACTTACTTTGCATAAATTTGTGGCACCCTGAATCTTATTACTGTATTTATACATAAAACTTAGGTTTGTATGTTGACACATCATTTACATCTTGTAGACAGCATGGTCAAGCACTTAAAAAGGCAAACAAAAGACAAGGGTATATCTTTTTATGTTGTTTTATTTAGAGCACATTGGATATTGGATATTTTCTGAACAGAACAAAAGAAAGACAAGAAAAGTTGAAAAGCTTTTTGCAAGTTAATTTTTCTTTCAATTCTTCATATTAACAGAGATATTTATATATTTTACTTACCCTCTAACCATGCTTAGCTTTGCATATGTAAATAATCGAAAGTGTATTTTTCTAAAAAATCAGATGAATTCGTATAACTGGTTATCCTTTTTAAAAAGACAACAGAGCGTTGAGCAAACAGCCCTCCTTTGTAACCTGAAGCTTGGCTTTCTGACCTGTTAAGGGCTATAACTGGAGGGTAGGTGTGATAGCTCACAGGGCTGTGAATCGGCTTGTGACACTGACACTGCTGGGGCGGCAGAGTTTCAGTGCTGCAGTCTGGAGGTTTTTTTTCTTTTTGTCCTTATAAAAGTGGTCTCTGAAAAGCAGTCGCACATCAACGTCAGTTAACAATCCACACAGCCCTTTTCTATCTTCTTGATATAATGAAATTATTGAGATTTTTATTGTTCTTTTTTGGTAGTGAACTTAAAATGAAAGTAGCCTTTAATGTGGTTTTCAGCTTTGAACAGAACCTGGCTGTGTCTTTCAGGAGTCCCGTCAGCTTTCTGTGGGTTATAGTGCACACACACTTAATATTGGGCCCACTGTATTTAGCTGCAACAGCAGGACATCACTGTGCATGGTAACAGTTCACGTTATAGTGTGCATAATCGCAAGACTAAAAAAGTGTTACAAAAAAATCATATTTGGATGCCCTTTACTGTTTGTCCTGTCTCCAGGCATTGGAAAGTAAACTGCTATTCCTGGACACCCTGTGTTCCACAGGACCTGGGGAATTGTATGCAGCTAAGGAGTAAGTTCAGCTTTGTGCAGTGCCAGTTGACCTGCGCTCTCTGATGCGTCCTGGTTTATTCTAGTTTATCTCGCTGCTGGTTCAGCCAGCTATCGTGGTGTTGTATCCCAGTGAAATTCTGACTGGTGTTGAGGCGTAAGGAACACGATAGTCACGCAGGTAGCAGGGGTTTCACTAGTGAGGCAGGGCGACCAGAGGCTAGTGTCAATTATGCAGGGCTCTCGTTGCAGAGCACAGGTAACTTAAATCCTGCCAGGAACCTGCATCTCATATGGCATGTTTTCCTTCTGAACCGTCAGGCCCCAGCCTGTCACACTTTTCAGGAGTCCTGGTGAGGTGGCATGGTGACCCCTGTTCAAAATGCAAAGGATAAGTCAGATTTTCACATGCCCTCAAATGAATAACATGCCATTCAGGTTCTATAACCTTCAGAGTACAATTGTTCTGTTAACTTTTTTATGTTATAATATGTTATGTTTTATGGAATAATAAATAATTCCATTCCTTTTTTTAGAAAAGTAGCATTTATGTATGAGAAGATTGTAAAGAACGTTTTTAAAAAGAACTGATGCACGGTGCTGAGTGTGTACATTGCTGAAAAGTAAAAGAAATGTTTTCCATCTTGAAACCTTGCTCCTACTGTATCAAATGCTATTGGAAAGTGTGCATAGGGCCCTGATTATTAATGCAAGTGGAACCAAACACAAACCACTTGCAGTGTACTGGATTACTAACCTCTTAGCACAGATCTAATTGTGTTTCCAGATTAACACTTCCTACCAGATGAGTCTGGCTGAGGAGGGGAATGGGAGGTTCCAGATTTCGGAAGGGATTAATACAAACCTTTGTAGAAAACTCAGCTCTAGTCATCGCAGTTACTTCTTTGTAACCTGTTCTTGTAAATGAAACGAGGCTAGATGTGGTCGGTACTGGGACGGGACACCTGCAGGGGAAACTCATGCTGCTGCTGCTGCTGCGAGTGGTGCTCGCCGACCAGAAGGTGGCGCTGTTCCCTCTGAACCAGGCATTCCAGCCCCACGTGCCAGTATTTTGACCAAGGGCACTGTGCTGCAGGAGGTAGCATCCTTAGGATGAGACTTTAAGCTGAAGTTCTGATTGCATGGTCATTTAAGAACTCGTGGCACAGTTCGTAACACTAAATTACCCGGCTGTCCTGGCTAAATTAGACTCTGCACTTGTACAGTAGGGCTTAAAATTTTTCCTGCTTAACTCATTTGATACTATAATTTCTCATTTCCCTACCTGATCTGCTTTGTAATGCAGTGGGGCTCCTGGTGTCTTTTATTTAGAGATAGATATGTTTTAGGATCCTGTGGGACGTATTGCTGTGAAAATGTATGATTTTCCTTAGTAGTCGTAATAATATTACACATGACACTCTTATGCATGGGGCTAGTGCAGTATTGTTCTCACGGGCTGGTCCCATGTGACATCACATGCTTTCATGTGATGCTCAGATCATCTCCAAATCTGGAAGGCTTCCATTTTAAATTCCGATTTAATGGAATTTGTGCTCGGGAACAGAAAATTCAGTCTTAAGCTCCCCAGGATGGTCTGTGGGTACAGCCTGTAATCCTGAAAGATCCCTGGGGATCACACTCTGGGGATGAACGCAGTGAGGAATACCGATATCTGATCTCTTTTTCAGTGGGGTGGTGAGGGGGGTTGCTTGATTTTGCGTCTGCTAACAGAAGAGCAGGTAGGGAAGTTTGTAAGTTTCCAAGTGTCTCACGTGGTTCAATGCCTCTCTTTGCCCTCGGTGCTCTTGTGCTGCGAGAGGAGGGAAGGCAGTGGGTTACGGGTCGCTGTTTCTCTGCCCTCGCTCGTGGTGTCTGGCGGTTATTTGGTGGCGCGTTTGGGCAAAAGTGAGGAACCCGCCTCCTGTCCGACGTGGAGCTTGCCTTGAGAAACGTTAAAATCCTGTTTTTGCAGCACGAACTGAATGGAGCTCGGACATGAGAGATTAATGGGTTTAGCAGTAAGACTTGTGGGATATGGTCCTAATCTTTTTCTTTGTTTAATAGAGAAAATTGCATTTAATTCGCACTTGATTTAATTGAAGGCAGCTTGGTAGCATGCCTTCTTTACAGCAGAAGGTTACATAACTGTTTCGGCACCACTCTTTCAATCACTGTATGTATCACTGAAGAAAGCCTTAAGCAGTGTGTATAGTTACTTAGGCATGTGTTCAGTGGCACGTTTTGTGTGAAATGTGAAATGTGGATGTCTGAAATACAAAAATGCACACGATGGTTATGTTTAATGTAATCCATGAAATAGATTTTCAGAACCGAACCCATCATGTCTGGATCAGATTGTACTTGATCCACTTATACATATTCTACTTTGTTTTGTTGAGAAACACTGTGCATGGAAAGACTTAATACAGAGTCATAAGTGGTGTAGTGTCCAGTATCTTATCTGTATCTTCTACTGTCGTATCCAATACCCAGTCTCTTAAATTCATTAACTCACAAAAACATCTTCACTGCAGACTCAGGATGGATGGAGTGTTGGATAAATTGCAGAGAGGTGTCATTGACAAACGCGTTTACTTGCTGCAAAATTATTTTAGCAGCAAAAACGCTTAAGATACATGTTGTTGAGAAAGGTTGCAGAGCTGTGCAAATTTTAAAATGCACAATTGTTTGCAATTTCAAGCGTCGAGTCTAGTTTTTCACAAGTGTCACTGCTGTGCTTTTTGTCGTGTGTAATAAGCAGCGATGTGAGGTGCGCTTGATTTCCTGTTTTAAAAATGGCGAAAAACGCTCTGACCACACGCGGAAAATTGCATTGCGTAACATCTCGGGTAAGTGAGAACTTAGCTGTCAGTTCTGTGACCATCTCTTGTTTGTACAGTAGCTTCAAGTCTGCATTGTTTTCAAGTGCAGTGAGGGCCTAACTAGGATCATTCAGAGAAGATTTTCAGAATTCGTGACAGGCGATTGTTTCTTGCAGTCCGGGCGGCATCCAAATAAGGGGGGGGAGGTTTATATAGAGCTCGCAGGGGATCAGAATTTCAATCCGGTATACTAATATAGCCTTGAATGGAATCTTGTATTATTGGTGTAATACATGTCTAAAAACCCAATTCTACCCAAATATATTCTGCACCTCTGAAGAGGAAAGTAACCCTGGTTTAAGATAGTTACCAGTTTCATGGATTAATAGAAGCACTGATAACACTACTTGCCTTCGTTTGAGATTTCCTTTTTTCTACCCTTTCCTCATTTGCTAGTCAGCAGTATGCATTGTCTGATGGATGCAATTTATAGAAGATAAGATCACTTTATTACACATATACAATTTCTTGCATTAGGAATTTATTTTCGCAAACCCCAGCTTGCTCTCCATGAGACACACAATAGGTGTCTATATGTGGGCCTTTTCTGCCAGGAGAGGTAGAATTCAGTCTGCTGCTGTGATGCACCATGCTGTGATGGGCAATATCCGGCGTGTTCGGGTTGTGAACGGACAGTCAGTCTTCAGCGAACGCTGTTCTCTTTCCTTTGCTCTGCAGCTCAGACATGAGCAGCTCCAGTAACACCCTGGCCCGGGAGTTCCTGACCGATGTGCACCAGCTGTGCAGCGCGGTGGCCCAGCAGGTGGAGGCGCGGGAGGAGGAGGAAGAGGAGAGTCACATGGTGGCACTGGGAGAGTACCTGGTGAGGGGGCGGGGCTTCCTCCTGCTCAGCACTCTGGACTCCATCATTGACCAGGTGAGGCTCCGCCTCCCCTTCATTCCAGTCCTCACACACTTGCACTCATTCAGTATTCATTCCCTGCAAATCTCCCAGAATCTCCGTTCTGTCGGTAGTTTATAGAATTTCAAAACCACTTATATGTACAATTCATGCATTTATACTTATAGTCATCCCTGTGTTGGGCATTCCTGTCAAATGTGACGGCCTAATTTCCCCTCTAATAGTTTTTTACCAGTTTGTATAGCTGTCCTTCTTTATTCTGGAACACCCAACTCCTGTTTGACCATACATGACAGCGAGCGCAGTTCTGCCCATGGGAACGTGTCAGTCATGTTGACATTGTTTTTTTGGCCTTCCTATGGTTACACATTTCTGCTGACAAGTGTGAGAGATTGTGCCTCTTCACAACTGGAAGCAGTTTACATTTCCATATAACACACACTTTTGAACAATGGCATAGTATTCATGTTCCCACATCCACAAGAAGACACATGGTAATGTGGAAAACTGCAGAGGTTTTATCTTCTGCTTAGGTACCGACTCAAGATACTGTTAAATGATGAAACCTGTAGGTGGTACTGAGTATCAGATATACTTCTAAACCGTGGCTGGGATTGAATTTTGCCCCAGCGGCACCATGAATTATTCACCACATAGCTGGTAACTCTTCACCTGGGAGCTGTACCTGACCGAAGCTCATCAGAGCACCAGATAAGACTTTAACACGGATCCGCTGACACATACCAGACTGGAAGTCTTAACTCTTTCATTGCCCTTGCTGCACACTGTATTTCTGATTTAGAAAAAGCCTTCCTTGTGCACTGTTTCATGTAAAATGGACTCATCTGGCAACTAATTCTCTTTCCTAAGCCTTGACTGATTTAATTAGTGAGCTTATACTGATCTGGGGCAGTTCAGCCAGCGTGTCCTATTTGAGTTGTTCTGAGCTGGCAGAAGTGTGCCGTGGAGGAAGTGTGACTACAGTGTTTGTGAAAAGCTTTGTTTAAACATAAAATCCATGAGTCACAGCCTCTCTCATTTTTAACAGTAGACGTCCAGATAGATTTTTCACAATGAAAGAAAGGCCTTGCACTTGGACTCAGTGCCCTGTTGATTTTTATCACAGAAGATACTCTAAAATATTAAGGAATGATGTTAACTCCAAATGATGAATACCTGTGAAATGCGTTTCTGAAATATTAGCCTCGAATGCTGTCTCATTATGTTTGTTTGATTCATTGATTCTGTGTAACTGGTGATAATAAATGCAGTCCCTATTGCAGATATTTAAGAATGTCTTCTCAGAAGGAAAACAATCAGCTTCAGTGAAATGTGTGTAGGCTGGACATGGACAATAAATACTACTTTCAGTATACTGTATGTACCTCTGGGAATTGCTTACCCATTTCTGATGGAAATTTCAAAAGTCTTTGCTATATGATGGTCATATGATTTCCTGTTTTGCCACACAAAATAGTTATAAGATTGTTTGTCACGTAGTCTATAAATCATCATGTTCATCAAAATGCTCTGAGAAAACAAAATGCTCTCTTTGTTATGAGTACCACTGTCTTTTCTGGGTAGTTTTCATTTGTATCAGTCTGACTCTTGGGTTAATACTTCTGAACGTTCTGAACATGGAAAAACAAAAACAGAGGGAAAGTATGGAACACGTTTTTCTTGAGCTTTGTTTTTGCATGTTTCAGGAGCTCTTGATCCTCCTTCCTGTGGCTGGAGGATACATACTGTAGATCCTCTGAGAGCAATGATTGTACTGTCTCCCCGTAATAACATTATAACCCGCTCAACACGATGGATACACTTATTTCAGTGTCCGGCTGAGTCCGTCACCTCTCTATCCAGCCAGGCAGACAACAGCAATCGGGGGGGATGGCCAACCCTTCAGCCCAGTCGCACCTAACTACATACACTGCCATCATTCCCAATTCCTTGCATGGCCAGTGAGGAAAGCAACTTGTGTTTATAGAAGGTGGTGTTCAGTTCTTGTCTGTATCTTTCCCTGACAGTAGCGATGCATCACGAACCTTTATGTGTGTCTGATGTCTGGATGTCTGATGTCTGGATCATTGGCTCTTCCATGAGGTCTTTGGTCTTTTTCAAATTTCGGGCCCTTGTCATAAAACCTGCTGATACTGCTGCTAGCTTCCTGCGTAGCTTCTTTCTTAGAAATGGTAAATCAAAGTCTGAGCTTTTGACTTACTGTGGCTTCTTTCTTCACTGCTGAGATAAATCAGCCTAGGTTAAAAATAAAACATTTGAAAAGAATTATACCTGGTAGAAACCGGGACATTAATAAAAGACGATTAAAGTAAGACCTTCAGTTGCTTTCCAGCATCTTGCCATACTGTAGCTATCAAAGTGCGAATGCTGAGCTCTTAGAGAACACAGTGCTAATGACAGATGGCCAGACGCCAGTCTGTTTTCATGTTGGCCTATGAAAGAACCATTCAGCCCCTAAAAATGTGGGACCAAGTAAAACACTTCCGTGATTATCTGGAAGGGGTGCTCCTGCTGCGATTGCTGTAACAGAACCGTGCTGAGCTTTGAGCAGCGCGAGGACAGGGGGTTTAGGTGGTGGGGAGATGCGTAGCGGTGTGCTGGACCCTGCCTCTCCGGATTCGAGCTGTGATTTGGCAGGCTTACTCTGCTGAGTTGCGACATCTGGTGAATGAGCCAGGCCGTGAGGCTGCTGTTCGCCTCCGAGCAGGGTGCCGTGCCATTGCCGAGCGCAGCAGGGTCCCAGGAGGCACAGCCCGCGGGCCCTGGTGTCTCCGCGGAGGTGGGTGTGTGGGCTGCGCGTGCCGCCGTTTGCCTTCAAACCAAGTCGCACGTCTCTTGACACAGAAGAAGCAGCGGCATTTTATTTACTTTTAATTCGCACTTGGGGAGCTATGTTCTCTCCCCTGTGAGGAATTCTTTAAACATGAAAGTTGGGGGGGGGTAGGTGGGCACTGTATTTATGGGAAGCAGTGTCTCAGAGGCCTGACGTAGCCTGTCCCAGAGCTCTGGTTGGCTGTCGAGCTCGTTTTTTCTTTCGGTACCCTTGCGGTACTTAATTCGCACGTGCTGTACAGTGCTTGGCAGCTCAGTCGGCTGGGAGAGAGAGAGAGGGGAGAAAATCAATGCAGCCTCTGGAAGACAAGTTACTGTTGCGGTTTGGCTGAGGGAAGCGGTTGTGACCTGTGCTCTGGGAACTGGGACTAAAGCTGCGTTTCTTTTGCCTGTTCCTGGACAGGAGCTGACCTGCAGGGAGGAGCTGCTGACTTTGCTGTTGTCGCTGCTGCCTCTGGTTTGGAAGATCCCCGTGCAGGAGGAGAGAGCCCCAGGTAAGCCCTTCCACTGGCTGGACATCCGCACCGCGTTTGGGCTGCTCTTAGCTGCTTATCCCAGCCTGACTCTCCCACTCTTCTGACTCTAAGGGGGCAGGAGACTCCAGGAGCTGTCGAAAGCGATGATGTTGCATTTCTTAACAGAAATTGGAAGTTTTTAAAAACTTGGTAGTTGTCTACAAGAGGGGACTCCCTAAAAATGAACAAGTAAAAGTTAATTCCGCGCTCGTAAATGTTTCGGCTGTGGAGTCTTCAAGTGGACAAGCAAATGCAGTTTTCCCACTCAAACTGTGTTTACAGTGGCGTTGTAGAGATAGAGATAGGGAAACTGCCATACAGCTTTAAAGTAATGCTAAAAAGTGGACTTGCCTTTACAGGTGCCCTGGGTTTTGGGGTCTTAAGGTACTTCTGGTATTGAATTATCTTGAGTATTAGAAGTACATGCAAATCAGGGCATTGAAGTGAATGTGCTGTGTTACCTGGTGCTACAACCTTAATCTCATGGAGCACTTAACCACAGACACAGTGGCAGCACACGTATATACACAATCTTTAGCTAAGCAAGTGGATTCAAGGGGATATGGGGATAGTTTTCACTCAAGGTGATTTGGATAATCAAGGTGTGATTAGGATTCTTTAAGAGCCTAAAAAACCTGAGATAACCTCATGGAGTAAAAGAGAAGTATTCAAATTATGTGGCAACGATTTGGTGATGGCACTGGAATTACATTGTTCTACAATATTGCTCTAAAACTTTTAATTTATTGAACTATCATTCCTTAATGAGCAGACTCCCAGCCCCATCCTCCCACTACCCTGGATGTTTGGCTTCGTCCTCTGCACACTCTGTTTTTCTTGCAACAGCAGTTTAGATAAAGCTGGAACATGCAGGCCAGCTATTGAGTCTAGACCTGAGGATGGGTGTGTTCTCCTGCCTGAGCTTCCTGTTCTTCCCTGAGAAGAAATGAAACATCTTGCATTTGCATGAAAAGCGGAAGATTATACTCCAACTGCTTATACAACTGTTTGGTTTTATTTGGGGGCAGAGGGGCAGAGGTCTTTAAATCTTTGTGATTTTATTTTAACATATACTCCTATAATAGTGTCACTAAGCTTATAGCAGAAAGCTTGAATGCATCTTGCAATGTGGTTTTACTGCATTTAAATGGAAGTGAAAGACTAATGACACATGCTTGTCAAATGTCTAAAGGTTAACTGCTCGCATGCGATGAGTTCTTAAGGTCATTCTCTAGATCTTAGCAATCTAAACCAAAAGGGAAAGTATTTTTGCGACACGCTTATTTTTTTCCTTATATTTTTTAAAATACTTTTACATTAAAAACAATCATGATCAATAATGCAGGCATTATAGTTCACCCAATAAACTAGATTTTAGTTCACCCAATAAAACTTGACCAGGTTCGATTAGCTGTTAGCTAATTTTTTTTTACTCGCTATTAGCTAGTTTATTATCTGCAAATGTTTTTCAGCGTGAGTCTATATATAGCAAGGTGTATTTAGAAATGAGCTTCAGTAACTGGGCACAGTATGCTTCAATCATCCATCTTGTTCATTGTCTTCTTTTAAAAGGTTGTAGTATTATAAATATATTCGATTATCTCAAGGTTAAGACTAACCTCATTAGTGTTAACTGTTATTAAAATATTGTTGCTCAGGGTGTTGTGTGCTGCACAGGATTATTATTACAATCTTGGTTGCTGACTGAGGTTATTGACCCTGATGAGACACAGGCTTCTAGTAAAGGCCTGCTAATCCTTTTTAACGAGGGCCTCATACATTTTTACCTTATTAGTTACTATATTTAAGTTGTGAATCAATCCCATAGGCGAGATGCAGACCTTGATTTGGGGCACACTGTCTTGCTACCATTAAATGGTAGGGCAGCATGCCTTATTTCATAATTTAATAACGCAATAGCGATTAAACTATTAATGTTACTTGTTTTCTAACACTGCCAAAATATTTGATTGTGTCCTTGTTGTGTATTATGCTCATTTTGGATAGGGCATCCTTGGGTTTAAAAAAAAAGAAAAAGAGCCATTTTTAATGTCATTTTTTTGGCACTTTGTTGTTCCGGGTATCTTTTTTTATTCCCCCAGCAAATAAGGTTATTTTCACCCCAGCTGTGGTGATTTTTTTTATTCCGTTGACTGTTTCAGATTTCATCCTGCCTTCGCTGGCGGAGGTCTGCTTCAGCAGGGAAGGGAGAGTCCCCCCCGTGAAGGGAGCCCAGGAGAAGACGGGCTCGGAGGTGCCGGTGGCCCCCAAGCGCGCCTCCGGCAGCTGGAAAGCCCGGCGCCAGCGCAGGGGTGCCCAGCGTTACTCGGTGAGGGATGCCCGAAAATCCCAGCTCTCCACTTCCGACTCGGAGGCCAATTCCGATGAGAAGACGATCAGCGCTGGTTGCAAGTACCGGAGGGCACACATCTCGAGCCACCTGGTGAGTGGCCAGCCCCGCTTGTCCAGAACGCCCCCGCCGACGTCGCCCCTCGCGGACGCCATGACCACCGCGGACAGGACCGCGGCCCACCCGCGCCTCGCCGGCGGCCCGCCCTCCGATTCCGAGACGCTGAGCGACCCGGCTGCCTTGTCCATCTTCAACCGGATGGAGAACTCGCCCTTCGACCTGTGCCACGTGCTGCTCTCCCTGCTGGAGAAGGTCTGCAAGTTCGACATGACGTTAAATCACAACCCTTGCCTGGCCGTCAGCGTGGTGCCCACCTTGACCGAGGTCCTCGCCGAGTTTGGGGACTGCTGCGGCCCAGGCGGCAGCGGCGGCGGCGGGGAGGAAGGCGAGGGAGGCAGAGGGATAGGAGAGGACCTGGCGGCTGGCTGGACGGAGGAGCCCACGGCCCTGATCCAGAGGATGCTCCTGCGCACCATTCTCCACCTCATGGCGGTGGACGTGGGCCAGAGGGAGGCCCTGCCGGACAACCTGCGGAGGAATCTGACGGACCTCCTGCGGGCCACCCTGAGGATCCGCAGCTGCCTGGAGAGGCAGGCCGACCCCTTCGCTCCCCGCCCGAAGAAGACCCTGCGGGAGGTGCAGGACGATTTTTCCTTCTCCCGGAGCCGCCACCGCGCGCTGCTGCTGCCCGAGCTGCTGGAAGGCGTCCTGCAGGTGCTGCTGGGATGCCTGCAGGCTTCCGCCCCCAACCCGTTCTTCTTCAGCCAGGCCGTGGAGCTCCTCCACGAGTTCGTCCAGCACCGGGGCCTGGAGCTCTTCGAGGACGCCGTGCTGCAGATGGAGTGGCTGGGCGCGCGGGACGCCGGCGTGGCCGCGGAGGCCGCCGAGCGGGCCCGGGGCCTGGTCGGCGGGGTGGTGAAGATCGTCAGCGCCGTCAAGAAGGCCAAGTCGGAGCAGCTGCACCAGTCCGTGTGCGCCCGCCGCCGCCATCGGCGCTGCGAGTACTCGCACTTCCTCCACCACCACCGGGACCTCTCGGGCCTGCCCGTCTCCGCCTTCAAGCAGCCGGCGCACCACAACCCCTTCGAGGAGGAGGCCCCCGACGGGCAGGTGCGCTACCCCGACCGCTGCTGCTGCCTGGCGGCCTGCGCCCACCAGTGCCTCCGCCTCCTGCAGCACGTGTCCTCCGGCGGGCCCGCCTGCCTGCAGATCCTGGGCGGCGTGCAGGCGGTGGGCATCTGCTGCTGCATGGACCCCCGCTCCGTGGTGGCGCCTCTGCTGCACGCCTTCCGGGCGCCGGCCCTGCGCAGCTACCAGCCCCACGTGCTCACCCTCCTGAGCCGCCTGGTGCTGGAGCAGCTGGGCGGGGGGCAGCCCTCCGAGAAGGCCAGGCAGGCCTCCTGCAACATCTGCACGGTGGACGGCAGCCAGCTGCCCAGCCTGGAGGGGGGGGCCGAGCCGAGTTCGGCCTCGCCCAGCCCGTCCTATCGCCCCCAGGGGATCCTGCCCAGCGGAGGGGCAGAAGACATGTTGTGGAAGTGGAACGCCCTGGAGGCCTACCAGGACTTGGTGTTTAGCGAGGACCGGCAGCTGAGCCTGCAGATCGCCGGGCACGTTTGCCAGCTCACCCAGCGGGGCAATGCGGTCGTGCAGTGGCAGCTCTACACCCACATATTTAGCCCCGTCCTCCAGAGGGGAGTGGAGCTGGCACACCACGCCCAGCAGCTGGCCATCGCCACCACCTGCGCCGAGGTCTGCAGCTACCACAGCGCCTGCCTGCCCCTGGAGGTCCTGCAGGTCTACCTCCAGACGCTGCCTGCGCTCCTCAAGTCCAGGTGAGACCGCCTTCCCCCGGTGGCCGCCTCCGGCGAGCGGCCAGGCTGAAGGTGAATGCCGAAGACCCGTTCGATCCGAGCTGGCTTCGCGCGCACGCGTCTTGTGACGGCGATTAAAGGCTTTCAGACTCTCGGCGAGTGTGTCACACTGTTAAACCTCTTGTCGCAGTTGGCTAAGTTCCTTCTTCATCCATCTAGTGAAGCAGAGCTTCCCCACCTGATCTGCAGTGCATTGCTGCTGGTGGGTGCTGGCTGATAAAGCAGGTATATGAATGAGGCCTGTAATGACATAATAAATGTAAATAAATAACATTTCTGATCTTTCATCAAATAATTCAAATTATCATAATGATAATTTATCAATGATTATATTGAGGTATAGAGTATTCGAATAGAGAAAATATTTTTGTTTTGATTTTATTTTCAGCAGCTGGTAATGAAGTTTAAATTAAAGTAGTTTTTTTTTTCAGCACTATGTGGTGCACTTGACACAAGCTGATAAGATGACCTCCTCACTTGTGCTTTGTTACCTGCACTGTACAATTTTGCCTTTTTTCCCCTTAATGTAAAATATGTGGCTAAGGGGATTTTTATTCATGAGCAGTGCAGCAGTGAACACTGTCTTCCAGGTTTGCCGGCGATATAGGAACGGTACAGAAAGGGCAAGACAGCCAGTCTCGCGAGCAGAGTTATAGGAAGAGTAAAGTTACAAATTAGAGGAAAACCTGAGAGAAAAAATGTCCTGTGTTGAGTGTAGAGTGTCCTCCCTGGAGTGTGTTTTGTAGAGATTAGAATTCCATAGAGCAGGCTTTTTAAACAAACGGAGCTCCCTCATTCCCTTGTATAATCTAGTAACAGCATGTTGTTATTTGAAGCCTTTTTGACAGCTTTGAATGTCTTGAAAGACAAATACAGTGGTTCATTTCTTAGAAAAGGGATTGCTTCTTCGGTAATTTGCTAAATTCTTTTATAGTGACTTATACAAATAAAAAGGTGAGGCAACAAAGGAGGCAGCCGAGGAACATTTTGATACAGGAACTGATTCAGGAGAGATGCACAGGGTTTTGCACAAGTTTTCTCCATCTTGACACATGTTGAGTCAGTTTTAAATCCTGGACTTGTGTTTAAACCAGGTCCATCCTGTTACGTGCCGAGTCGTGCCGAGTCGTGCCGAGTCGTGCCGAGTCGTGCCGAGTCGTGCCGAGTCGTGCCGAGTCGTGCCGAGTCGTGCCGAGTCGT